AATCAGGGCTGTCAGGGCTGTCAATCAATCCAGGGACCAGCTGCTTCTGAGGGTCTTCATCACCTGACAAAGAGCCAGGCCCCAGGGTCTCTGCCACGTAGAGGCCCCAGAGTACACACCCTGCGTCACCTCTGTGAATGCAGAACTGGCACCATGGACGGCAGGAGACCACAGGAGTGTGGTCACAGGAACGTGGCACGCTCTGTGTGTGCTCCGAGCCAGAGAACGCAGGGAGCCCACACTTCACAGCACAAGAGATGGCGTATTTCCTCAACTCCTACAGGGAAGAGCTACAGGAGTGTCTGGGGCTTGTGCCTTTACCTGGAAAACACTCTTTCCAGGACGTCTGGCCTTTTCTTTGGGACACCAACTCATCAGGGTGATGAAGCCCACCTTGTTCTGCTGCTCCCGGGAGGTCATCCGACCCAGTGCCCCCAATCTCCTCCGGGCAAGCACCGCTCGGCCTGGGCCTGTGCCCCTTCTGCACCAGCTCCAACTGCTAAGTCCACCCACACTCGCTCCAGTATCCACAGGGCATGTGCTCACGGGACCTCCCCAACACATGGTCCTCAGTGCTCCCTCGCCACACATCTTCTGTCCTAGACTACAGACATCACAGGCCAAGGGGTTCGCCTCCTGGGTCACTTGTGACACAAAGTGCCTCAGCCCATGCGCCCCTACAGGGTCCACTGGAGGCTGGAACTTGCTCACACAACCAGGATTCTCCAGGGTTCCCTCTTTGTAGTCCAGCCTCCAGGCTGTCCCTACTACCTCAGTCTGGAACCCAAGCTGACCTTCCCACTGACTTCTTACAGCTCTGTGGGGTGCTTCTCTGCGACCTGACCTTCCAAAGACAGAATCTGCATCCCCAGACTTGCCCGCGTCCTGCTGGAGTACAGAATACAAACTTCTTCCCTCATAATCTGCTCTAAGCTTCCCTCTTGAACCAGGTTCCTTCATCTTACCGTCAACTACTTAACAAAAATTCATTCAGAACAAGCATGATACACACTGAAAGAATACACAAATGAGTAAGTTCCTACCTGTGCAAAGCTTATAATTTAATAGAGGAAATAAGACAGTTACATAAATCACTAAAATTAGATTACAGAGATTTAACTGCAATTACAGTTTCTGAAAAAAAAAAAAAAAAGTTGCTATGGAAGCACCTGGGAGAGAAAAATACTTCCACCTAAGAAGAGAAGAAGGAACCCAAGGGCTGGCCAGGCCTGGGTCTGTGTGGCTCCATTCTCTCATCTGTAAAGCACCACTGTCAGGTGAGGGGTCTCTGTTGTCACCCACAGCAATTATCTTATAGCTCAAAGAAAAAGGCAGCATTTGTGCTGGGCCTTCACAGATCATGGGAAATATGGCACACAGAGAGTGGGAGAGTATCCCAGGGCATGAAAAGTCGGCAGTGGTTCAGTGATCAGCCCTGGAAAGCCAGGTTGGAGCCAGGTAAACACTCAATTCAGGGGTCCACAAGTTTCTAGAGTAATAGAAGTTGCAGGAGGTGTCTGAGCAGGGAAGAGCTATAGACACCAGCAGAATCAAGACAATAGCCCCAGAAAGTTAAAACATGGCTCACATTGATGGCAGCTTCAGCACATCCCTGTTTGAGTGTCTGGACCTGAGCAAAAAGAGCCCCAATACAGAGATCTGTGCATTTCTGTG